GCGGAAATCTGCCCTCCTGCCGCCTCCGAGGCTGGCGTGGAGCCCAGGGACGGCGACAGGTTGGAGGAAGAGGAGGCGGTGGAGCGGGTGCTGGTGTGGGAGAAGAGCTGGCGACCCTGCCCCGGAGCCCGGAGGCGGCTCCAAGGTGAGGGCCACCTCGGTGGGTCCCCGGGTGCCGTTGGTTGATGAGGGGGCTGCTCACAAGCCCCGGCATCCCGCAGGGTGCCTGGGGTTCGTGCGGCGGCAGCTCTTGCGCGTCGGCGAGGACTGGTACTTCCTCTTCGCCCTGGGCGTCATCATGGCCATGATCAGCTTCATGATAGACCTCATCATCTTCAGGCTCTTCGAGGGTAACGCCGGCCTGCCCGGGAGCACCGGGCGGTGGGCACCGGAGCGGGGCCCTTGGGGTGCTGGCACCCTCTGGGCATCCTGGCGTCCCTCCAGGGCTTGATCCCGCTGGGAAACAACGGCTGTTGTGTGCGTGGGGTGGGACGGGGGGTGCTGGAGGACCCAAAGGCCGGGAAGGAGACGCTCGGCCCCGGCGTGCCTCCCAGCGGGTGCTTTCCCTCTCCTTCCCAACGCTTCTTTCCTAGCCCACCGCTGGCTCTACCGAGAGATTGGTGACTATGCAGTGCTCAAATACCTCTCGTGGACCATCTACCCGGTGGCCTTGGCAGCCTTCTCCACCGGCTTCTCACAGAGCATCACGGCGCACTCGGGGGGTGAGCACCGGCCGTGGCACCGATGGGACCTCCCGAAAGCCCTGGGGAGAGGCCCTGGAGTCCGAGCATCCCATCCGTGTTTCCTCAGGCTCCGGCATCCCTGAGCTCAAGACCATCCTCACGGGTGTCATGCTGGAGGACTACCTGTCCATCAAGAACTTCGGTGCCAAGGTGGTGGGGCTCACCTGCATGCTGGCCTGCGGCAGCACCGTTTTCCTGGGCAAAGTGGTGAGTAGCCCAGTGCCGGGCTGGGATTCATCTACGGATGCCGTGCTCCCGGGGGTGGGATCCAATGGGATCCAGCCTTTACTCAGCCCGGTGTCCCCAGGGCGCCTGCGTGCACATCTCTGCCATGCTGGCAGTGTACCTGGGCAAGATGCGGACATCAGTGACCAAGGAGTACGAGGTGAGGCTGTCGCTGCTTGGTTTTCGGGTTCCATTCCCTGCCATCTTCCCCTTTCCCCCCCAAAAAAATCAGGATGTGGCTCATGGGCAACTCCTCGGCAGGACAAGTTCAAGCAGAATGAGATGCTGGTGGCGGCGCATGCAGTCGGGGTGGCCACGGTCTTCGGGGCGCCCATCAGCGGTGAG